AATCCCAAGTGTATGTGTGAATGTCATGACTGATGTCATAACATTCTAGTTTAGTTTGTACTGATTCATTAGGTACCTTTGCAGAAAAATATTGTCATACAGGTACTGATGTTTATGAGTGTGTATCTGAGCATTTTGCAAAATGATCACATTTACCAAAATCAGTAAACAGGAATTCAGATGTCATAAAAAATGTTAAGACATCCTGTTCTGAACTAACAGGTTTGCAGTTTGGTTAATTCTGAGTTTTTTCAGGAAAATGACTCAGTCTTTCCAGAACAGAATCCTGCGTTTTCTTTGGGTTAACCTAGCTCAACCCTAACCTGGTTGATAAAGTCCTGTGACCTAGTCTTAAGGTCAAATGGAATTAACCCTAGCTTTTTGTGGAAACCCTAACTGAAGATGCAGCTGCTATATATTCAACAGAGCTGCTGTTTTGAAAGCAATCCCTTTTTTGTACAGAAGATCTTTTGTAAGCTGTATAGTTTTAACTATTGTAATCCAAGCAATTATCATTGTGATAAGTGACTTGGAATAGGTTTTTAATTGTAAGGGTTGTGTAGCACTCAAAGCTTTGAAGCAAGAGTGTTTGTATGTCTCTTGACTAAAGCTGTGAAGCAGAGTCAAGTTAGGTGTGTGTATCACTCAAAGCTGTGAAGCAAGAGTGGTTGTGTTGCTTGATTAAAAAGCTGTGAAGCTTAATCAAGTGTATGTTTTTGAAGAGTGTCTTCATCAATTCATTAGTCAAATTGTTTTATGTATCACTGCTGTGATTGAGGGGGAGTGAGTAGGAACTCAGATTTAAGTTGTACTTAGATTGAAGTTGCATTGGGTAGGTCTTAAGTGAAGGAGATAAACTGGTTGGTTTATTCCTGAATTAACATCTCTTATAGTGGATTTCCTCCCTGGCTTGGTAGCCCCCAGAGTAGGTGTTGTTGCACACTGAACTGGGTAAACAATTGACTGTGTTCTTTACTGTTTTTTTGTATTTACTGTCTCATAGAAAGTCAGATACGGTGTCACAACATTGAACGTGACATTGAGTATCTGCAGCCAGAATTTCAATGATAAATTGATGTATTTCATAGACTGATTTGATGTTGCATGCTAGTGATGTGCGTGCATATGCATTGTTTTGGTGAAGTTAATTCCCATTGTGTGGAATTTGACTTGTATTGCCGTTAACCGATACCCGGGTGATGATGGGTGGTTAGGCTGGATTCGTGTCCGGGTGTTTATGGATGAATCGATGGTTGTTGTATCCGGTTGATGATGGATCAGTGTTGGGTGACTTGGTCACGTGTTGGTACCACATGCATTGTGTCTGCATTTGTGTTTGCATAGAATTGTAACATGTTAGGATATCTTCCAGTGTTACAATTCTTTGGTTGATTATTGATTTGTGCATAATGACTTGTATGATTGGAACTGCGTGTTGAACCTGAATTTATGCTAAAATGGGTGAAATAATATGCTTGTGATATAATGTTGATTGAGAAGCTTATAATGCATGTTAATTATGAGAAATCTCACCCTTACTTTAACAATTTCAGATTAAAGTTAGCAGCTCAGGAGTTGGTGAGGATGGCTCTAGAGCTATGTTACTTTAAGTCCGCGTGTCAGTGTCGTGCTCTGATAGGTTGTAACACTGGGGAACGTTTAGTTGAGGAATTAGTTATTATTCAATTGTTTCTTTGAATTTCATTGGGAATAATTATGTTTTGGTTTATTCCGTTTTGGTTATGGTATTTTTCCGCTGTGTAAGACATGTTCTTAATTTGATTGAATTATTTAAATAATGACCCTCAGTGTAGCATGACTACTGTTTTATTGGAAGTTTTATTTATTTCATAATTGTGACATCCCTTGTTCCGTGTTAACTCTGATGGAATATGTCTTTAATCATTGATATAATTAATATTATTCGGGGTATTTTAGAAGGGGTGTTACATATGGCACGTATTGACTCTATGACTAGGGAAAGTGAAAAAATTTGGGTACAACTGAAGACTTATTTGAGGGATGAGCTAAAGGCAGAGATTCAAGCTTTTGAAGCTCGAGTGACTACTCAAGTGGAGTCTGTTAGAGTAGTTATTGACCACCTGGGTAGAACTAATGTTATCCTTGATATTGGTCCTTTTGATCTTGATGTCGATCCTTCTATTCCAGATGCTTCTGCACCACATTTTGATGCTTCCGTATTTCCATGATTTTCACTTTTATCATTTTCATGCACACCATAGCATTTTCTGGATATTTATGTCATTTTGGTTGGTTGTCTATTTTGTTATCTTTGTCTATATTTTGAATAATGTATATTGTGACAAATCTTTTAGTCACGTATGTATGATATATGTGATTCTCTATATGCTATATGTTTTTTGGTATCTTTCTTAAATTGCATATTTGCAAAGTTAATTTCGTATGTGATTTAATTAGTTCTTGTTTAGTTCACTAAATATGACATCCTATTTTTGGCTTTTAATCTATCTTGGATTTAGCTGGTTACATTTTTCTTCTCTATCTTTTCTCTCCTTTTGATATTTGTCAAAGGGGTAAAAGGTATCAAGGTATTACCAATATTCATGCGCATTAAGTGTTTAATGCAGGGGGAGTTTACAACTTTTGCAACTCAAGTGAAAAAATATACACTAGTTCATCGGATTCATTTCATCCATCAAATTCCAAATAATTCCATCAATAATTGATCAACAGTAATATCTCAAATTTGTTAAACATCAAAAGGGGGTAGACTGAAAGTGCAGTCAAGATAGTGTATGGTATCACTTATTTGTTTTGATATTTTTGTCAATTTGATATATTTGCTTTAGTACTTACATATTTTTAATTCAATTCTATAATCGTGTTCTTGGATTCTATCCACATTTCATTTGTAATCGCTTTGGCTATTGTCTGGTTGTATCACTAAAAACTCTCTTTACTCATTTAATAAGAGTGTTTGATCATTGATATTATTTTTTTTAGGGCCTAGCCAATTTCTACTTTGTCATTTCATCAGGTGTAGCTTAAGTCACAAGTTAGAACTCTAAAATTTGCATTTTCAGTCATTTGATTTTAATCAAGTGTGATATATGATTCAAATCAGAAGCTTTTTAAACAAATGGGATTTACCTCTGGACCATTTGATTTGAATCACAAAATAAACATGATTCAAATCACAAACTCATGTGATCCGAATCAAGTGTAAAAATTATTTTGAATCAATTGATTCCATGAAGTTATATTTGGGCTCTGCTCAGATTGATTTGAATCATAGTTTTCACTTAACAAGTGAGTGAAACATATGGATGAAACTCATAGAGACAAAAAGTGATTTTGTCTTCTCTTCTTAGTGTATCTATACTCATCGTTATGATTCGTTCTTTTCTTCTAAAGAACAACTTCTTGATTAAATTCATATAAGATTCATTCTCTTTTTTGTTGCATCTTGTTCTTGTGCAATTTGTTGTTGTGTTGAGTGAATTAGAGAGAGGGGGTTGATTAATTTTGTTTTATTGTTAATGATTAGTCAAGTTCTTGATAACAATCAAAGCCAAGACCCATTTATCCAGAAATTTGATAGAACCTTGTGTGTGTGTTCTTCATTCAGATACATGTAAACCCATGACTTAACACCTTGTACTGCTATAGTGATTGTGACATATTCTGGCATTGTTCATCATCTTCATCCTTAGTCTTTTTCCATTGTTGAGGACCTTCATCTCTAAAGATTGAGTGTTGGGGAAAACTAGTGGTACATTAGGATATCTAATATTTTTGTGTGAAATTTGTTGTGTGTTACAAATGTATATATCATTTCTTGAATGCAGTTAGCATTTATTGTTATTCATCAAGAAGAGAGTTTTATTATAATCCAATGAAGACTTTAGGGAGATCAAGTATCAATAGTCTATGAGGCAGAGATGGAAAGTTGTACATATTTGATGGATTTGGAGAAATATTGCTCACACACAAAGTTAAGAGGTTCCAATCAACGCTTAGCTAATGGAAATCGCTCAGACAAGAGATAAGTGGGATCAGGGTGGATTGGCACATACGAATACTTGAAGCAGATTATTGTGGATAACAAGGTTATTGAATCAAAATCTTTTAGAGATCTTGTTTTTGTTGGCATTTGAGTGTCTGTATAAGTAGAGGGAATTATCGTTTGATAGTTTGTTGTAACCAAAATAATTGTAATCAAACTTATCAAAGTAGTGGAAGATCGTGAATATTTTTCAATGGTTTTCAACACCATTGAAGAGTGAAGCAGTTAAAGTAGGGACATACACCAAACCACTATATATCTTTGTGTATCTTTTCTTTTTTCCTTATCCTCTTATAATTTTATAGTATTCATTATTTTGCTATTGCATTAGTGAATTATTGCATTGATTTGATGGCATATAAGTTAGACTTTGCATTAGTGAACATTGCATGTGCATATACAGTTAGATAATTAAGGTATTCATAAAATTAACATGAATACACCATGCATATAATACTTTAATATAGCTTCGTGTTTAGTATGATAGGAATTTGGGCTAAAAACATAATAGTATTACCATGTGGAATCAAACTAAAAGAAATTTCATTTATCAGAAAATATGCCAAACATTACTCAAAAAAGGTAGTTAACAGATAGAAGAGAGAAAATCAAATGCTAAAATGCGTAGAACATTGTATTCTAGCAGGTAACTAGAGAAAGAGACAGTCAAATGCTAAATGGATGACAGAGTAAGCTTTGCCAAGACCAAACTTTTCATTACCTTTACTTTGTAATAATAACAATGAAATTTGAGAAAATTACAAAGTGAATATAATTATATTGTTTTTGTTTTGCTTATGGGAAAGAATGTGACCTTGAGTTGGGGTCATTTATAGTTCATTCAAATCATACAACCATCGTATCCGGACAGCGTAAACAATAAAATTAAATCAAAAGAAGAAGCAGATATTCAAAAAAAGGCCAAGTGGAATTGATTCATGTTGGTAGGTCATCAAAGAGGACGAGTATGTCTTCCGGTAGCCCTACCACAAAGTAATGCATTCTTAGGAATAGGATATTCATCTCTCAGTGATGTTGAGTCTGTGTATACACGCAAATAAAACTGTTGCCCAAGGTATTGCCTTGCCCAAAATTCAGACCTCAAGTTCCACATTCCCACGTTGTCAAGCGGAATTTGTATAGCAGTCCATGATTTTGGATATACCTGAGTTGTGCAACGCGAAACTGCATCTCGAAGATTGTACTCTTTCCTGCTATCACTTGTCCATTGTCCTCCATCCATGCTGCATGCATAATCATAGAATTCAAAACATTAGTTTTATTACTAAGCATTGAAATGAAATTATGAAAATGTCGTATATGTGTGCAGATAGAGCATACTCACCCAACCACAAAGAAAGAGTAGCCATCAAGATGATAGCTCTGAAGAATGTCTTCATTATTTTGGAAAACTATCTCTACATATGCTCTGTAGTCAGTTTGCATAACAGAAGTGTCTGTGTATATACCGCCGCCGGTTGGTCCATCAGAGATGCTTCCTGGACGGTAAACACCTGATATCTTGAAGAAGTCAGCTAGCTTAAGAGGAGTGTCGGGGGCAATATAAGACACACTGTTAATCGCGTATCTTTGCTTTCCATTAACTTGTCCAGCCGAACTCGAAAGTACGATTGTCCTGGTTGTGTTTATCATGCCATAATGGTATGATCCTTGAGGATTTGGTCTTGGTCCACTTGCTGTCAAGTTTGTCCGGATGGAGCGGGCCTGGTTCAAGGACCAGTCAATCTGGATAGTAGGTCCGCCAGGAGGTGGGCCTGAAACTGCGCCTGCAGAGTTGCTATAGCGAAGAACTCCAGTCGAGGTGAGTACTGGATTAGTAAACCGAGAGGAAACGACAATGTAATAGTCTTGACCTGGTTGATCTGCGGTAACTAGAACCGAGTATGATTGACCAACATGAACATCAAGGGATGAGTATGTGGTTTGAAGGGTGTGTGTTCCTTCGACTTCTACAAGTTTTAAATTGTGGTTTTGAATGCGAAAATTGAGAGAATTTTGCAAGCCCACATTTGATATTCTAAGCCTGTAAGTCTTTCCTGTAATGTCAATGATGACATTAGTTGGTTGTGTCAAATTTGGTTAGAAGAAAATAGTGTTGAAACTAGTGTAATGCATTACCTTGCTCGACATTGAAAGATGAACCTCCAGAGCCGCGACCATTGATGAGGATGCCATCAGGGAAAGGCAACTTGTTACCATTATCAAGTTGAGCTTTCAAGTCCTATAAATACATAATAATAGAGAAACAATTTTGATTATGATCTATAGAAGAAATAAAGCTCTTGTACCAAAAAAAATATATAGCAGAATGATTAGTTACGTACAGTGTGATTGGATTTGTACCAATCTCCAATAAGGAGAGTGTAATCACCAGCAGGGTCATCAAATGGAACTGGAATTCTTGGCCTACTTAGGATCCTAATACCACCAAAAGCACCAGCAGCTTTATGGAATGAAAGAGATGGGAAATAATAGAAACTACCAATTTGATCTTTGACTTGAAGTATGTAAGTAAAGTTATTTCCGGGAGGAATGGGACATGTTGTTCCAAACACACCATCTTCATATGAGTTCCTTCTCTGTTGGATTCCATTCCTGTATTATTTTTAACCAAAATTCAATCATTATTACTTCAATTAATAAGTTTGCAAGTGAATGAACCGTATCAATTAGTAGCTGTAATGACAATAATTTACAAGTAAGTGTGTTTATTAGTTGAGTTAACGAAAATGATGGGTAGCTAAGAACAGCAAAGCACGACTAGACTTGCCAGATGTGGAAAGCTAAACTGCTCTGCTGTTCAATTACTTTTGGAATGGAATATTAATGTCTTGCATCTAAATGATTCCACCATTTATTTATTAAATTAAATGTTAACTAATTAATTATCTATTTGAAATATATATTTATATATGGATCTAATTCATCCAATTTTTTTCAAATGATAATTTCAATTTATTAAATCAAATCAAAATAATTTAATAAACAAACAAATAATTGAAGAAAACATAACAAAAAAAAAAGTATAGAATTATTAATATACATTTATTTATAGATAGATAGATAAATATCCATCACTAAAAATTTGTTGATAAATAGATAGAAAGGTTTTTAGAATGAACGAATGAATTAAATTTGATTTTGTTAAAAGAATTTATAATAAATTATTTTGATACATTTATTATTATTGAAATCAAAACTCACTCAATAATATACCCATTTAGTAATATAATGAGTAAATAAATTGACGATAAAGTTGTTGTCCCATAATAACGTTAGTGTATTATAGATTTGGGCTATGAGTATTAATGAAGTGAAAAAAAAAAGTGTATTTGCGTGACATGAATTTAAAAAAAAAAAATTTTAAAAATGAAGAGAAGATTGAAGAAAGAAGGAGGCAGTTAGATCTGGATGATGTTTGCGAAACTATGGCATAAAGGAACAACAGAACACATGTGGTGTGTGTGACTCAACTATGAAACGTGCAAGAAAGAGAAACATGGAGAAATGGGTGGAAAAAAAAGAGGTTACCAGGATAAGAGAAAGGGTTCGTCTAAGTTGTTGAAGACATTGATAATGAGATTATCGTTGGTAACAGAATGAATGTCTGGACCTGGAAATTGGCCATTGATAAGTATACCCTGTAATGAATGTGTCACAAAAACACAAAAGTACAAGTTTAATTAATTTCAGATCCAGTAGTTAATTAGTAACAATGAAATTGAAAGAAAAAACAGAACCTGTTGGCGAACACCAAGTGGATAAATGTCACCGTATGTAATGTTCCAGCTGAAAAATCTGTATGGATCTTCAGCAACAACAACAGTAGTAGTGATGATGGCAAACAGATAAACTATTAACATCGCCGAGTTATTCACCGCCATTATACGCACAAACAGAGAGAGAGAGAGAGAGAGACTCTCTTATTTCTCGGTGGTGAGTGAAGTCAAATTTGAGGGGAGCTTGCTGACTTTATAACATTTAAATTACCCGTAATTCTAGATTTACGCGTTAATCTCTAAATCCAATCTTTTTTTAAATACATATAAATACTATTTTCACTATATTTTCTAGGTTTAGTAATACATTTTTGACACTCACATATCCTAGTTTTTCTGTATATCGTAAAAGTATAATTAATTCATGGGAAAAGATTTGAGTTGAACAAGTTTGAGAGATAGGAGAAAAAGATGGGAAGAAAATTAGAGATTTGAAATTGGAGAAGAAGATTAAATGATTTTGATATTAATTAATTTTGAGGTAATTATTTGTAACAACTAACTGATGACGCGTCATATATAAAGATTCCAATGCAGAGAAAATCAAATACTACAAAAAAATGTCTGAAAAAGAAATTTGTATTTTACATAAAAAAAAAATCATAAAAAAATTTTCTTAAAGAAAAATAAATCAAAAAACACTAATATGGCCGAGGTAGAAGGCATTTAAACCATAATTTTATTATTATTATTATATAAAAATATAAAAATACACATATTTAATTAAAATTAGATATATATTTGGATCTATTTTGGACTGGCCCGACAGTTTGATTGGGCTCAGTCTAAGAAATCTCATGAGTGCCAACCGCTGGCCGTTGTCCAGAATTGCTCGCACCTGTCGGGCAATACCACCCTCTTGCTCTTCTGATCTGGCTCCGATCCAAGATGTCCGTCGAGCATCTTCTCAGTCTGTCTGACTCCAGCGTCGTGCAGTCCACCAGGGACCGACCAGAGAGATGTCCACAATCAGCCTCCTCCCCGGAATCAACGGCTAATTACAGGTACATCTGTCCGATTTGATCAAGTTCTGACAGTTACCTGATTTTTCGGACCCGCGTATCTAGGCAGGAAATCAGGAACCAATGGTCATGCGCTAGGGGCATTATATAAACCATCACACCTGTGAGGGCCATGTATCACATATTCACTACTCACTACATGATATTTTGCTAGTACCTCATTGCTCCCACTCTTACTTGATCGTTGGAGTACCTTACAGGTACAACCCCCTCTCTCCTCTGTCCGACTGAAGATCATCATCCGACCACTCTCCAGGTTCTGATTAACCACAAGATCAGTGGCGCCGTCTGTGGGAAACTGCTATTCCCATCTTTCTTCCCTCGGAACCTAAGATCAAAACAACTCTTCTTTCAAGATTCATCTCTCATATCATGGCCGACTATAATGATCTCTACCTGTCCGGAAAGACCATCATTTCCCCTGCTCGCAAGACTGATGGAGGCCAGGAACACCCTCGCCTTGAGGACAACCTGGGCCCCCGTGACGGATAAACTGCGTCCCCTGATTCTGCTGATGCTCGACGTGGTGACGATCAACTCTTGGATGAAGGGCGTTCCAAGAATCCTACTGGGGAACTCCCAGAAATCTTGCAACCGGTCCCTATCACTGTCAACGCAGATCCGACCATGGCAGCACTGCTCGTTGCCCTAAATCAGACCAACGCCCTCATCCTTCAACAAAATCAGAGGATAGGGGCCTTGGAAAATAGGCGTTCAAGATCTCCTCCTCGGAGAGCCCGAAGACGAAGTTCCCCCAGTGCATCACCACCCAGGCGTGGTCCACCCCCCAAAAAGGAAAGGCGCGGTGTTTCTTTCTTCAAGAAACGCAATCGTACACCTCCTGCCCGAGATCAAGACTCTCATTTGTTCAAGAGGAGAAAGGACAACAGGCAGATCGACTGCGCTCGATTACCCTCTCCCGAGCCAAAGCAAAAGCGAAGAAGCCCCTCCCCTCGGCAGGACCGCGACGATCGATGGGGGAGAAACTACCACTCTCCTTCTCCATCTCCCGTCAATAGTGAAGATGACGAGCCCCACGAACCATTACCGAGGGAGATCACCGAAGCTCCACTTCCTGTCGGCCTGGAGAAGCCGCCCACTCTAGGGACCTACGATGACACTATAGACCTTGACGAGCATATCGAGAACATCGATGTCATCCTCAATTATAGAGGGGTCAGGGGCGTCATCAAGTGCAGACTCTTCCTAACCACTCTCAGGAAGGGGCGATGGCATGGTACAAAAGCTTGCTCGACGAATCCATCACCTCGTGGAAACAACTCGGGAGAATGTTCTCAAGACATTTTGTTGCCTCCCGTCGACACCCTAAATCAAAAGCTTCGCTCGAAGTGATCATACAGGGCAGGGACGAATCTCTGCAGGCATATATTGAACGTTTCAACAAAGAAATGGTCTAGGTCCCGACAACGGACAACATGAAGAAATACCTACACGAGTGCGGGCTCCATCCCCGTAGCGACTTTGCCAAGGCTGTAGGCATAGAAATACCAGCCACACTCGATTCCCTTCTCCTAAAGGCCCAGACGTATATACAATACGAGGAGAAGGAGGCAGCCACCAACGCACGGGAATCCAGGTACAGGAAGAGTGCCAGACCCTCGAAGAATGACGAACCCTTGACATCCCATCGAGGGGAGAAGAAACAGGATGACAGGTCCCGCGATCCTAAAGACTACAAGGGGCCGGCCGATTGTTTCCACGACTACACCCCCCTGACAACCTCAAGAGAGCGTATTCTTTCCGAATGCGCTAATTCAAAGTTCAAGCAAGTTGGGGCGCGTTTCCCCCGTCAAACGTCGTCGAAGCCAGGAACCGACAAGAACAAGTACTGCAGGATCCACAAGAGTCATGATCACAACACAGAGGATTGCATCCATCTCAAGGATGCAATCGAAATATTAATCAGAGACGGGCACCTCAAGCTAAGGGTGGACATCGGTCGGTTTGGACTGGATTTGGGCCCAATATGTCAAACCATGTAAAACCATGGATTCAAATATTAGGCCAAATTCCGACCAAAGTTGTAATCGGTTTGATCGGATTCGGTTTAATCGGTTTATCGGTTAAAATGGATCGGTTTGTTCGGTTAATTAATATTAAATTGTCATAAAAAATTCAATTATATCTTAATTTTTTTAATTAAAACAATATTAAATAATAAATATAAAGCAATAATAAAAATAATAAATGACCCAATTTAACACTATTTTACATTCTAATTTACACTGTCTTCCAAATAAACTATGATCAAATTGTAAATTCCAAATAAACTATGATAAAATATTATATCAAAATAATACATTCAATTTTGGACATAAAGTCTATAAGGTAGTTTTTGTAGATGCCAACATTAAAAGAAAGCTTAAAATACACTATGAATACTTAAATTACATTCATCCTTCATATATAAATTAACATTAAAAGCCAACATGATGACACAACCAACACTAATTATAATTTTTGTTCACCATCATATTTCCAGCACTTAAAGCTGCAAGAGAAGAGAAGTGTTCCACTGTAAGCTGCAAGAGAAGAGAAGTGTTATTTTAGAAATAATATATTTCAAAGCTTTTGCTTCTAAACAAAATTATGCATGACCTTTCAAGTAAATTTTTTGCATACCAGAATGGGAGTTGTTGTTCCAAGGATGGAGCAATGAACTCTAGCTGTTCGGTGCCTGAATCTGCCAAAATACTCGAACCCTTGGAAAAATGAAGACAAAAAGGAATTAGAAACTTTAACAAAGGATCTCAACTATCCGCAACAAATACAACCAGAGTAAGGAATATAAAACTAGTATATAAAAGTGAAAATCAGTTAATTTAATCAAAACTTCTTCAGTAGTAGTACTAACACAGACAGTCTATGAACTAAAACAGGCATGTGAATGATCATTAAAAAATTTACTAGCCAAAATCCATGCCTAAAATACAAACATGGAGATGAATACTATTTTTTCTCCTGATAAAATAAGAAAATAACAATTGAATTACTCAATACTCAATGAGAAAAGTCCTAAATTATTTTTTCATGTCTCGGAAAAAAAACAAAAAAAAAACAATTAAAAGATAATTTGAAAAACACAGAAAAGAACTTCTTGAGGGTTGCATATAAACATGATCTTTTGTTTTGTTTTCTACTCGACTACAGAAGAAGGTCATATATAAAAGCCTTCTTTTAAAAACTCATCCAAACAAGCCACAGAATACCAGTTCTGGTGTCATTAAGCTAATCAAAATTTCATATGAAAGGCAACATGAAGTTTGAAAAATGACTTGCAACCACAATATCCAAGCTTAAAAGTTAAGATCAAAGGGGTAAACCCATAAAAGCCACATCTCTATCGATAAAAAAAGGTGTAAACTGTAAACAATGACTTGTAGTCAACATCGAGACCTATAGACCATAAAAGCAATATCCTAAATCTTTTTCGTGTTGAGTAAGATTGAAATGCATGTGTAGAAACTTACCCCGATCCATCCAGGATTGTGTGCGCGACCATGTGACAGGTTGATGATATTATAAGGAATTCCTGAAGGTGTGTTCCATGCAGGCAATAATCTATCTGCAATGTCTCTAGCTTTGTCAAGGAAAATTTTGTCCCCTGATAGATCATATGTACTAAGAAGGCCACCCACTACTCTGGATTTTGGTGAAAATAGACCAACAAATAGAAAGAAAAAAAAATCAGTTGTCAATACATAAGCTTATTATAATTTTTGGAATGGAAAAGACTTTAACTGCAATGTAAACCTTATAAAGTAACCTTATGGTTGTCTCAAAAACACTTGCGTCATAATCCTTGTTAAAATCCAGAGAGTTTGCGACCCACCTGTAAGGAATGACTTACGGTAAGAAGAAATGTAATAAAGCATAACCAGGATTAGCACAATTGAACATTAAATAGACGACTATAGCAAGTAACTGCAACAAATTTATGTAACTTTTACATATAAATTATGACAATTTGCAGTAATGAATAGTTAAATAGGATAGCAGATACATGTATCAGAATCTAATCTTACCAGTTAAACACCATAAGCATGAAGTGTTCCTCTAGAA